GAGGGGAGCGGGGACTAGGGAATTGGCTTTCCATATACAGCAGTTCTTACTTGAAACGTGTGTATGATGGGAGCCATCTTTACTCAAGTTAGTACACAGGGAATATGATTGGATGTCTCTGGAGAGACTTCATGTTTACCTATCCTCCGTGTGCTGGCATGTGCCCAGATTTCATCAGAGGATGTATCCAGAGGATAAAGCTTTCATCTCTCTTAAAATGTAATAACTTAACTTTAAATTGTTTTCAGGTATTTGTACTATGATGAGAGACATACAGAGAGGTACCATGTTGTAAAAGATCAAAGGGCTTTGGTTGTAAAGAGTCTGAGTCTCTGGCACTTGGTTTGGGCATGTTGGGAAGGGAGGGTGAACCTGCAGTTGAGAAAGAGGAAAGGGCAAGAAAGAAAGAGGCTGGGAGCACAAAGGCTCAAGGGTACAGAAATGTCAGCCTTTCTTTTGTGAAGAGAGTCTCTGGGACCCCTGCTTGAGAAGGGCCTCTTAGGGAATTGGTTCACCAGGATTCCTTTTACCCTCCTCAGCTATCCAGGCACTCGGAGGCTGCTGCAGTTATGGTCCAAAGGAGCCTGACAACAGCTTCCACTGACAGCAGACTTTGGTATCATCCACATGATGCTGGTTTTACTGGCATGGGGAATGCAAGTCCAGGCAAGGAGGCTCTGGGAGGTCAGTGCATAAAGCCATGGGATGAAGCCAGAGGTGCAGTGGTGACCCCAGGAGATTGGAGATGCCAGGAATGTGGCATGCCTGCCAAGAAGAGCTGTAGGCGGTGAATGAAGCCAGCCCGAGAGAAAGGTTCTATGGGTTATAACCTGCAAAGCCACAGGGGTGGGGCTGCCCAAGCCCTTTGGAACTCACATTTTACCACTGTGTGTCCCAGGTGCTGGATTTGGAGCTGCAGGACTTAATGTTTGCCCTGCTGGGTTTCAGTCTTGCTTTAGTCTAATTCTGATCTATCCTCCTGTTTTCTCTTTTAGAGTGGGAATGTTTATTCTGTGCCATTGTACCTTGAGATTTTGTAGCTTACTTTTTTTTTTTTTTGGTTTTTCTCCAGTACCGGGAACCGAACTCACGACCTTGCGCTTGCCAGGCAGGCGCTTTTGCCGCTGAGCTAAATCCCCAGCCCTGTAGCTTACTTTTGACTTTTACAGAGGCTCACAGGCTAAGAGCTTGCCTTGAGTCTCAGGAAAGATTTTTGTAGAATGCTGAGACTTTGAGACTTCAGGAAAGGAATTATTCTATTTCTGGTTGTACGTGGGATAGTTGCATTATGTTAGGCAGAATCATGAACTCGCTATTGTCTTTCTTTGGAGATTAAGTATGTTTTAAGGAAATATCTTTAGGTTGCAAGTTGAGAAGGGATGGGACGTAGTGGTTAGGGTAGAGTTTCAACTTGATTAGTTTTGGGATCCACCCAAGGAATTGGTGAAACACACTTTGAGGTGTGTTTGGGTGAGTAATAAAGACATGGTCTTGGGGTTTATGTCTGGTTCCTTACACCTTTCATTCTGGCACTCTTCCCCTGCTGTGTTTCCTAGCCACCGAGAACTAAGCAGCTTTATTCTGCTGCACCCTTTCTCCAGGTTTCTGTCGTGGATCCTCACCAATTATGGACTGACTCCTGTGAAACTGAGCCAGATAAACCTCTCCTTTAAGTGGGGGTGGTTGGGTATTGTGTCTCAGTGATGGGAAAGCTGCCTAATACAAGTTGCATAACAAATTACCCCAAATTTAGCAGCTTAAAAGAACAGATGTTTACTATCAAACACAGTTTCTGAGGGTCAGGACTCCAGCAACAGCTTAGCTATGGCTGTGGCTCCAATCTATCCCAAGTTTGTAGCTAGGCTGTCCCCTAGGCCTGCAGGCATCTCTGCCCTTGACTGGAGATAGAAGCTCCTCACCCAGGCCCACTCACAGTGGTGTTGCAGCCTCGCTTTTTCACTGACTGTTGGCCAGAGGTCTTCTCCTCACCCCGTGGGCCCCTCCCTAGGCTGCCTCAGTGTCCTCATGACATGGCCGCTTCCTCCCAGAGCAAATGATGGAAGGAGGGCTTGAGAGAGAGAGGCCTGAAAACAGAAGCCAGTAATATTTTTGTCATCTCAGAAGTGCCGTGCCCTCACTCCTGCCATGTCCTCTTGGCCATCCAGACCAACCCTGGTCTTGGTGTAGTGTGGGTGTGACTGCATGGTGGTATGACCAGCAGAAGGCAGGGTTCATGGGCACACTCAGAAGCTGTTCCTTTCCTCCTGCTCCTTCAGCAAACCACTAACTAGATGCTCCTAATTCTGCCTCTGCAGTATTTCTCCAATAGGAGGCAGAAGAAAAAGTCTTAGGAGACCTCTACGCCGGGACTTTTTACTTTACTTCTCTGTAAATATCATGAATAGGTTTAACTCTGTAAGTGTTTGTGGTTTAGAAGAACCTTCCCAGAACTCTTTTTGGGTTTTTTTGTTTTCATTTTTTTTTTGGTGGTAGTGGCAATTGAACCGAAGGCCTTTGCGCCATGCTACAACCCCAGAGTCTCCTCCTTTTTTAAAAAAAAAAAAACATTTGAAACAGTCTTATCAAATCACTTAGGCTGGGCTCAACCTTGCAGTCCTCCTCAGCCTTCCAGAGTGCTGGGATTATAAACATGTGCCACCATGTCCAACTCTTCCTGCAACTCTTGAATAAGAAAAATTATGGGTTGCATTCTGCTTGTGTGATAAAGAAAGCCACTGTCAGAGGAAGCAGGAGTTACATTTACCACTTGGCCAATGGAAATAATCCCCTTTTTACTGGTAATTCTTTCCCTTCTTGAGACTCTCCTTTAAGATGGGCTTCTTTGGGGGGAAAATATCTAATATTTTTCTAGTATGTGGGATTTTCTGGGTTAAGTGTGCCTTAACTCCACCTACCTGGTGATTTGAGTTGCTCCTGGGAGGAGGGGAGCACTGGCAGCCTCCTTCATTAGGTTCTTACACAGTTCAAGGCTGGACAGTTAACTAAGATTAAGTCAATTAACCAAGGACCCAAAGGAATCAGAGTGGGAGTTCCAAACTCACTTAGGAGATTTTGGGCCTTGCGTGAAAATTTGTTCCTTATTCCTAGAACTATAAACTTGAGATACAGAATCATAGACTCATTGACTAGAAGAGAATAAAGATCACCTCCCTGCACCCTCCTCCTCCATTTTACCAGTGATACAGACAGAGGTGAAAGAACTTCACCCTATCATTTAGTAAGTAACTTCACCCTATCATAAGTAAGTAAGAACTTCACCCTATCATTTAGTAACCTTCCTCCAGTTGGAAGCCAGCTGGGACTAAGGTATCCTTTCTGATCTTTCCCTGAGCCATGTGGAAATTTTGGCATGGTATAATGTATATAATTGTGTGTATAATGTACACACACACTTATAATGTATAAGTGTGTATAATTGCAGGACAGTGTGCTGCAATCCTGGGTTTGCCCTAAGATCCACTTTCTGCTCTTCTTGTGATCTCCTTCGAATGACAGGGAGCTTTATTTCCCAAGCTGTCTTGGCTCTGGCTTCCCACTTGGTGTGGCCAGTGGGGAGCACTGGTGAAAGATCTAAGAACAGGAGCTAATGGGAAGTATGCATTTCTTATTCTCTCCCTGCTTCCTTCAGCAGCTTCAGTGTAAGGCTCCTCTGTGGTCTCAGCTCACACTGAACAGTTCCCCTGTGACTCCTGGCCTGCCGCTGTGACCAGAAATACCCAGCCCCTCCAGTCTGAAGAGTCATACTGCTTACTGCTGTGACTCACCTTTGGGTTGCCTCACATCCCCCACTTGGTTTCTGTATCGTTTGAATAGCCAGTTCCCTATATTAAGTTACCACTTTTAGGACTGGGGACATAGTTCAGTAGTAGAGTGCTGGTCTCACATGTTGCCATAAAAAAGTTCTGTTTGTTAAGACCTAGATTTGTTTCTCTTTTCTTTACTGGACCTTGACAGATGTAGTAGGGCCATTGTTCTGTTCTTGCACATTGTAGGAACAAATAAATGTTCAGTTGGAATGATGATAATAAAAAAGGAAAATCAGCTTATGTCTTATAAAGATATAATACTTTATTCATTTATGCTATAAGTTGAGCTGATTCAAGCAAAATCATATTTGTCATAGCTTCTAAAAACAAAAAATGGAAACACTTTCCTAAGATGTTTTCCCAAGGAGTCAGTCTTTTGCCTTCTGCTCTGTGGTATCCAAAGAATGGTTTCCTTTGACCTTGTAGATCTTTTCCATCTCTGTCAACCATGACTTAATCATGGCAGAGATCTTTCTTGGTTTGGGTGAGTTTATATTTTTTAGTTGTAGCAGAACGAGTCCTAACGTCATGCCATTGGTTTCGTATACTTGCTTAAGTAAGGCCTGGGTACACTTGGCCTTCCCGTCACAAGCCTGGTTGTTGTGACCTACAGTCCTGTTTATATGCCAGCCCCTGTTCTTGGCATCCACACAAGGATTCCCACAAGGGTTCCATTTGAGAAGGTGGTTTCCAAGATTGGGGGTAACTGCCCGCCAGCACTGGATTTGAGACCACCGGCTTGTTTTTCCAAGCATTAATATCTCAGTGATCTCCAAACATATTTTCTTTTCCAGAATACTTTCCAAAAAGCTTGTAAGAATGTCTCTAAAACTTTTTTTTGAAAGCATAAGGGCCTAAGGAGAGAGGGGGCATGGGTAATATAAAGTATAACTTGGCAGATTTATACTTAAAATGTTATCCAAAAATATTTTTTTCTTAAAAAATCCTCTTTACATATTTAAGTAATTCATTTGGGAGAAATAACCAGTCAGCTATTCACATAGCCAGCTCCTTGGAAGTTTCAGTTCAATATGCTTTGAAACCAGTCAACTACAAAGCCTCAAATGTTTTCACTTTGAAAGCTCAACTTAACCTTCAGTACCATGGTAGTGAGAAAAGTGACAACTCATTTTAAAGATTCTCCTCCTTTGTGTCTTTGTCTTTCTTCTGCAGGCCATGTGTTTATACGATGGGATCTCCCATAAACAACAGGGCCCTTTTTCCATGCCAGGAGCCACCCGTTGCCATGTCAACATGGCAGGCTACAGTTCGAGCAGCTGCATCTTTTGTTGTTTTAATGAGTGGAGAAAATTCTGCCAAGCCAACACAGCTTCATGAAGGTACTGTACATGTGTTCTTTGCTTATTTATGTATTGCACACATGCTGGACCCAAGAACCCAATAAGCACTGTTTTTCTAAACTTTAAAGAGCTGCTTTATTAGTTGGGTTGGAAATGAACATACTATAAAACATCCTGCCAGAGAAAATAAGCAGGGGATGGAGAAGGACACTGGGGAGTCTGGGCGTGGGATTTGGGGCTCTTCACCACAGTTATCAATTCATAGTTTATTTCAGCAGTTACTTTCACCTGGTGGTTTGTGGGCCATTAGTGGGTGGTCTTGGTTGAAGACTTTCTGAGCAGACAAATGTGTCATGGAAACACCATTACAAATGGCAGAGTTATCTGTGGTTTGGACTTGGTATCTGTACGTGGTTATTCATTATGTTGAGAGACAGAGCTCCTGTTGGCCAGCCCAAAAGGTTGTCCTAGAGGAGAATCTATTCTGTGTACTATTTACCTATGTGAAGCTCTGAACCAAAGGTCTGTTGGAAGGATGGATGGAAAGTGCTAATGCATTGTCCAAATTTTGTGTATTACTTGGTTATTCAATAATTTACTCTTGCATTTGAAATCCTGAGCCTGTTGATGCCAGGTGAAATTTTTATAGCTGTAATATTTGTTCATTTATAATATAGTGTTTCCTCACACATAATTATTTTAGAAACTTGAAAATGTTCATAAAAGAAAAAAATAATAAAGTTAAGTAACTTTTGAAAAATTATTGTTCACATTTTGTTTCATTTTTCTCCACTATTTATCATCTGTATGTATAGTTGGAATTATTTAAAATTGTCACCCTAGCATATAATTAGTGGTTATTCTGCTTTTTTCAGTCATAGTATATGTTGAACATTTCCTAGGTTATTTTTTAAATATAATTTTAATGTTGTGCAATATTTTGTTTATGAATATATCAGAATGTAACATATTATTAGCTATTTTGATTGTTACCAAGTTTTATTTCTGTTATAAATAAAGTTGCATCAAGTTTCTAAGTGGAACTTATAAAACCAGAATTACAGAGTCTAAATTTGGAACATGTATATAAGGCTGTTGGTACATACTTCTTGTTGTTTTCCAAAAGCTTGTGCCCGTTTATGTTACCCGTTAGTGATTATAAGGGTCTCCCTTCTTGAAACTTTGCTCAGCAGATAGGCAGGAGAGGGTTGCTTGTTAGTTTGGATTACTTTATTATGTAGTGTCATGTAAGTCATGACATGGTAAACACATTTTTGCATGGTGCTTCTTCATTTAGAATAAGTTTATCTTATTAGTTATTAGTGAATTTCATTTGTTCTTATGTGTTTCTTAATCATTTTCATTTCCTATGGGTTCATATTTTTATACTGAGGATTTAGTCAGGTTTTCAAAAAGTTTGTCTTGTTTTTTAAATTTGATTGGCTTGAATAGTGGAGAAGAAGAGATTAATCTCTTATCACATTTGTAAAAATGTGCCAGTTAGTGTAGCTTTTAATTTTATATGATATTTCTGATCAATAGGAGATCTAGATTTTTATGAAATAAAATTTATCAGATTTGTCTTGGAAAAATCTGTCTTTGCCCTAAAGTTCATCTGTTTTCTAATATTGTTATAGTTTAAGTTTTATAACTTAACTTTTTGTAGTTTATTCTCAACATAGTTGTGAAATAAAAATTAAGTATTACCTTTTTTCAAGTAGAAGTCAGTATCTTTGAGATTATTTTATCTTTTCTGATTTGTGATATCTTGCTTATCTTGAAGTAGGTTTGCATATGTATTAAGTCTTCAATGAATATTTACTTATTCCTAAAAGCAAAACAAACAATACATTTAAAAATTTTATTTTAAAAAATAGATATTTACATGGTTTATTTACAAATGAACAAAGGCAAAAAACGTTTACAAGAAAATCTCTTTCTTACTCTTATTTAATCCATTGCCTAATGCAGCCAAGGTTACTGGTTTTTTTTTGTTTTTTTGTTCGTTTGTTTTCGGGTACTGGGAGTCAAACTCATGACCTTGTGCTTGCCAGGCAGGCGCTGTGCCGCTGAGCTAAATCTCCAGCCCCTAAGGTTACTGGCTTTATTTATATATTTTTTCTTTTTGTTTTGTAAGTCATGACATGGTAAACACATTTTTGCATGGTGTTTCTTCATTAAGAATAAATTTATCTTATAGATATTTCATATCAGAACATAAAGAGCTTCCTCATTATTTTTAAGGCTGTGTAGGATCCCATAAGGGGGTGTTTTGCAATTTAATTAACTAAAAGCTCTGAACTCTATTTCATATTAAAGAAGGAATTTATGGGCATTTACTTCACTAATATTCCCCAGTTGTAATTAATAAAATCTAGGATATGGAACTAATATTATCTCTATATTTTGTTTCTGTATTGTATCTTATCTTCTAGGAATTACTATTATTGGTTTACATTTTCATTCAGTTTCAAATCATACTTTTAATAAGTATTTAAACTTTTTAATTCTTGAGCTATTAAGTTTGAATTTGTCTCTCAGTTGGCTAGGAAAGGACTTCAGTATTCTTTTCTAGAAGAGTGGATTTATGGTATATTTTCTGAACATACCTCTCATGTTTTGATTGCCTTTCAGTTGCATTCACTTAAGAATAATTCTTGCCTAGATGTAAGCTTCTGAAGTGATTTCTTTCCCTCTATAGTGACTGTAATGATTTTCACTATCATATTTATTATTTTCTAAAGAGAAATTTGGTATTAAATGTTTTTAATCTTTGAAAGTCATCTGATTTTGCTACCTAGATGCTTAGAATTTTTAAAAGAATATAATGCGTTTCAAAATTTTAGAACAAATCTATAAGTGGTGCCTTTTAAAAATCAATTTTTATTAAAGCATAACTCACATATAAATAAATGCAAACATTTACAATGTATTGTTTAATGAGATTTGACAGATATAATGTATGTATAATATATAGTTTCTTTACCCTAGAAATTCTCCTGTGCTGGTGCACTGATTCCTCCCTATTCCTACTTTACTCAGCCACTGATCTAATTTCCATTTCTATAGATTAGTTTTACTTCTTCTAAAAATTCATATAAATGGAATCATTCAGTGTAGACTGTTTTGTGTCTGTCATGGTGAATGCGAGATTGATCCACATTGTTGCTGGTGTCAGTAGCTTGGTTTTGTTTGTTAGGTTGTCTGAACAGTGATCCATTGTGTGAATAAGCCAGTTTATCCACTTACCTGTTGGCACCCTTTTGGATTGTTTGCACCATTTTGAAAAACACGGTGTGACCACTCATCTATAAAACATTTTTGTGGATATGGTTTTCATTTCTCTTAGGTAAATACCAAAGAGTGGAATTGCTAGGCCATAGGATAAGTATTTATTTAAGTTTCTACACTTAAACTTATGATTTAGTATCTGCAAATCATATCCAAAGTGGCTGTGTCATTTTGTATTCCTACCAGGAATGTGTGAGAGTTCTAGTTGTTGCTTACTTTTGCAAGCACTTGACCTTGTCAGTCCTTTGAATTTTAGTCCTCTGAATATGAAATACTATCTTATTATGGTTTTATTTTGTATTACGCTGATGACTGATAATATGATGTACTTTTTCATGTTTTTATTGCACATTTTTAAATATTTTTCTTTGAAAGGCATTTTTTTTTTTTTTTTTTTTCCGGTACCGGGAATTGAACTCACAACCTTGCGCTTGCCAGGCAGGCGCTGTGGCGCTGAGCTAAATCCCCAGCCCCTCGAAAGGCATCTTTTCAAGTCATTTCCCTTATTTTAAATATGTGGGGGGTTTTGGTGTGGGTTATCAAAAATACTATATGCAATACTTTAGATACAAGCCTCTCTTTTTCTTAGATATAAAACCCTGTGTGTATCTCTTGCCTTTTAATTTTTTATTTGTGTTTTGTGCTACTGATTTTCAGTAGTGTCATTTTTGGTTTTTTACTAATGCCATTAGAGATTTAAATTATGTCATTGTAACATTTCAATCCTTCATTTAAAAAAGATCTCTTTGTTGTCTTTTGATTTCAATCTGTTATACTTCACATTTTAGCCTGTTATCTTCTCATGGCTATTTACTATTATTCATAGAGTTATATCTTCTTGTATCATAAGGACAGTGCCAGTTTCCTAAATTGATTTTGGTGTCTGTAGTAAATTGATTTCCAAGGCCGCTGCTTTTCAATTTTTTAGAATGATGTCTGTTTTCACTTTTATCCTGCAGGTCTTTATTTTCCCACAGCTTTCCTCTCTGGTGTGTACCAACAGATAGGATAAAGTTTGTTGGTTTCCCTTAGCCCATTCACTGTCCACCTAGGTGCTGAAACCTGCCTCAGTTCAGCAGAGGGAAGGTTGGCTGACACACACAGCGCATTTATCGGGCTGCATTGTCTTGTTAGCAGTTGTCTAGGCAAGTTCTGCTAGACTCATATGAGGTCTTTCTCTGCCCTCTCTCTTTGGTTCCCTGACATGTGGAATTGATTGAGCACATGCCACATTTCAGTGTCATGCAGATGCTGATATCTAGGCTTTTCCAGCCCACTGCAGTTTCCTGATGATAACTACACCTCTCTGGATGCTATGTGGCTGTCCCTACTCCTCTTCACTTTGCCTGTAACTTTCTCATTCATGGTTTGGCCCTCTGATGTAAAGCCTTATGTTTAACAGTGCTTCTCAAACTTGAGTATCATTTTTCTTTTCAGAGAGAAAAATATCTCATAGTTCACTAGAGTTGACTTAAATTATGAATATCAGAATGTATTTTCAAAGCTATGAACTAAGACTAGATATAAACTGCATGCTTATAACTATTACATACCTATAAATCCAAAATAAAATCAGATCAGAATGCTAAATCAGTAAAATGCAAATTAAAAAATTTAGTGTAGAGATCAATATGTTACTGAAATTGCCCCATATGATCCAAATGTGATACAGACAGTTCTATATAGGATTTTGTTTGGAGCTTGAACAGCTATCTTACCTGCACTACATGATGAGCCACTTCATCACTTTACTTCTCTCTGGTGTAAAATTTCTGCTTACACAGCATGCTGCGATGTCATTTGGCCTTTACTCAGGCACAAGCATCATCCTTATGTTCTCTTTACAGTATCTCTCAATAATTATAGCTATCCCACGTGTCCCTGTGTAGCTGTACACATTGGTGCAGATGTGAACTCTGAAATCATTTGGCAGTGCTCGCTCGTGTCTGGATGATTTCAGGGGTCAGCATACTACAGCCTACTGGCCACATCTAGCCCACTGCCTGTTTTTATAAATGAAGTTATCTTTGATCATGGCCCTTGTCTAGGGCTGCTTGCCTGCTGTAACAGCACCACTGAATATTTTCAACAAAGGCCCACAAACCCTAAAATATTTGCTACCTACCTCTTTTCAGAAAAAAGTCTTCTGACCGCAAGCATATCTGTCTTGTTGTCAGTCTGTCTACCTATTTGAAGATCATCATCAAAAAATTAAAAGGAGAATTAACCTTAAAATTTTAATGGAAACTTTTATACTTCCAAGAATATTTCCATGGGCCATTTTTGCCTTCAGAATCACCAATTGAAGGCAGAGTTAAAATAAAGTAGATGCTAACTGGGGTTTGCTTGTGTTCATACACTTACACCTCATATGATTTCATAGATCAGACTTTACCAATTCAAATTGAGTGAGGATTAAACTAGACAAGGAGAAGGAACACAGAACTGAAGTTTTTTCAACAGGCCCACAGCTGGGGTTTATCAGAGGACAACCAGGAAGTACTACTAATAAAGCTCTATGCCAGAATCCAAAGTTGCTGTTCTGAGAATTGAATAATGTCTACAAATGTATCTGCACTCCTTAGAGAAAGAGGCTACACGGATACAAGATGTTGCTACTTCCTTTTGAAGCCATGTTTTCTAGATTGGTAGATTGGTCTCATAGGACTCCCCACTCTGTTGTGCACAATGCCCTTTAAAACGATGAGCTGTCCTTGAAAACATGAGCAGCAAAACCCACCCCAGCAAGTCACAGTTTCCATCATAGTGACACATCATCAGCCTGATTAGCACATTTACCGGTCACCAGCTGATTTCCCGAAAGAAGCAAAACACCTGGGAGCACATAACAGCAACAGAAATGACAGCAGCCCTTGGGCAGGGAACAGAAATGAGCGGAGGACTTCGGAGTCCTTTCTGCATGAGGAAAATCATTCCTCCTAACTGCTTTTAAAAAGAAGGCTAATGGTTCGGGCTGTAGGGTAGTGACCATTCTAAGAATTTTATTAGCTTAGTAGTCATTCTCCTTTTTTCAAGAAGGCTAAGTCAAGGCCATAGATTTAGATTAACTTGTTTGACTCATTTATTATTCAACTTCCTCAGCATAGAGCCATTTGGACAGCAATTTTATCCTGTGTTATTGTCAGCCTGGATTCCCTGCCCAAATGCAGCCAAAATATTGAAAACAAATCCAGTGCCCAGAACAATTCTTTGTATATGCCAAGTGCTCAAAAATTTATTTGTTGAGTACATGTGGTCTGTGTAGTCAGACAAAAGTAATATGTTAATGGAGTAAACATTTAAAACCATTACTAATATGACAAAAATTATTTCAGGGTCATTTCTTTTAGTTATGCTGTGGATTTGAGTCTATCCCTTTTCTCTAGCCTCAGTAAATTTTAAAAGAAAAAATTGATTCAGTATATTATTTTTCCTGGTAATTTTCTGATTAGTTTTATTTTTTGCAGAATCTCATTTAGCACATTCCTACTTCCTGGAAAAATAAAATACTCGGCTTCTGTTTTTTGTAGGAATCCTCAAGAAGATGAATAAGACTGTCTCAGCTCCTTCTAAATGAAAGAGGAAAAGCATATGAACAAGGGAAAGAGGTTAAAAAGTACATGTGCCTTTGCATAGGATCTGATTTCATTTTTCTTTGTAAAACTGTAGACATTACTTCATTCTGGGCAAAATGCTACTCTCTGGTCTGCCCAACAGACTGACTAGCTCTCTGACATTCTCCTTCTTCTGACCGTATGGGAAATTCCAAGAAAAAAATCATGATTTCAGAGTTGACCCTCCTGTGTGCAATTGAAAGCCAACTTTTCTTCCCTCTTGATAGCTCAAAGTGAGCAATACTATTCAGACTGCTCCCACAGTATGCAACCAGGAATTACATAGAAGGAAATGGTAGATTAAAAGGCACTTAGGAACGGTTATGCTTAAGTATTTTCCCCACAAAGAAAAAATGCAAAGTAGAGAAAGCTCTTTGTTTCTATAACTGAGAACTATTCTGGGCTCCTATGAATACATACATGTGTTTTCAAGGGGTAGGAGTATGGAGTAAATGCATTCATCTTTTCCCATTATGTAGATGTTCTGGGGAGCCAGGACTATGTTCTACTGTTATATCGCTTATAAGGTCTCATCCAGTGCCCTGTACTTTTAAAATCTTTGTCAGTTAATTCTTATGTTTTGCAATTTGTTGTTGACTACCTCTTGCTTGTCCTGTACTTACCACATGCAACATATGTGGAAGTCATCATGATTTCTTCTGGACAGAGAAGATCTCAGCAGACATGTACATACCAGTTCTTATTGCTGGGGATTCTGTCTTGCATTTGACATTTATAGACAGATGTTCTTTTGAGTAAAGTTCTTCAGTTCACCTGTCGCTCTCTGGAGCAGTACATGTTGGTGTTCAGTCCACTCATGCATTTTGTACTGAAGTCTTAGAGCCAGTCATCTGTGTCTTAGACCAGAATGTCCAGAGAGACTTTGGAACAACAAGCCTGGTGCTGTGTGTCCCTCTAGGGAAACCTCGGAACTCACAGAGGTGTCTGTGTTCTTGCTTCAGTAGGTGGCGCTCTTTTACCTCATTCACTTGAAGATCTTGAAGGGCGTTCTCTCCTGGGTGTCTGCGCCCTAGACTGTACTGTGTGGCAGGGGGAGAAACTGAATCAGTGCTTGTGAAGCTGTGGCCTGACCTGGCACATCACCCTGGCCAGCCAGTGCTGGTGTTTACCAGCCCAGGGAATCTTCCTTTCTTCTTTGTTCTGGTGCCAGTTGGAACCCTTAAGCAATAGTGGAGAAGAACTAATGACAGACAATCACGCCATGGGCATTCGAGAGGGTGGCACTAGCTCATACCACCAGAATGTGTAGATCAGCATCTCAAAAGTAGTGATAGAAAGAAAGCTGGGGTTTGCTGAAAGGCCCGAGCACTGGAGAAAGGGGCCAAGAAGAGAGGAACAGCTAAAGGAAGGAAGCTTTCCTTCTGTATTATGCATATATTATACTCATGTATGTACATGCATAATACATATTTTTATAATATGTAATATATACATTATATATGGTAGAGCTGTATACACTTGCAAATACACATGTCCCTATACATATTGTCAAATATCTTTGTGATACAAAGTCATCCCAAAATAATCCTAACGTAAGGGGTAGTTTGAGCCAGAAACTCTGAAAAGAAGATGTTGTAGCTAAAGAAAGAAACAATCTTGAGGTAGAAAATAAGCAGGGGCTCTCCATGGCGGGATTGAGGAAGGAAATCTCATAAATGCTGAGTAAAATCATGTATCCATTTGGTGTTTCTGAATGCTTCCTCCTATTTGTCTCATCTATAGGGGGCAGGTTAAAAAGGTACAGGGGTATTCTTCATAGGAGGAATTTAAGTGCCTGCTTTAATTTTCAGTGCAAGTAATAACTCTTTAAATACATGAAGTTCTATGAGATGCTTAACTTTGCAAGGATAAGTAACCTGTCTTTGCCTCTATTGAAGCAGGGTGGCGTGTGTGTGTGTGTGTCGGGGGGCTGTGGCAGTGCTTTCAGATTTTGCCGCATGGTTTACCCAAGTGTATTGGACTTGACTTTCCACATGTCTAGTATTTAATTGCTGCTCATAGGAATGACTGATGGGTAAAGATGACTACAGCATCTTGATTTTTCTTCTCTTAGATTTTTTTCCTTTTATAAAAATGTTCTCAAATAATTAGTAAAATTTTCACAAGTTTAGGATACAAAGTTCTGTTTTTACCATGCATATTGCATCCTGTTCTTCCTTTTTCCTGTGTCACTGATAATTCCTCTCCCTCCTTTGGAGGACAGAATCTTTAAAATTATTCAGAGAACAGCTCTTAGCAGTGAATGAAAAAAAATGTTCTAACACTCTTTAGTTATGACACTTATTTTCAAAATTAAACTGTTAAAATGTTTTACATTTATTTATTTAGTAGTGTTGTGGATTGAACCCAGGGCCTTGTGTATTCTAGGCAAGTGCTTTACTACTGAGTTATACTTTCAGCCAAAACTCAATTTTAAACTGCCTTTTGTGATTTGAAAGTTGACCCATTTCAAACCCCATTATATCATCGAAAAGCAAAGTCATCTTTAAGAAAATTGGAGTTCTGCTGGGGATTTAGCTCAGCGGCAAAAGCGCCTGCCTGGCAAGCGCAAGGTCGTGAGTTTGGTTCCCGGTACCGGAGAAAAACCAAAAAAAAACAAAGAAAACTGGAGTTCTGTGTTGGAAATAAAAATGTATATTTGCTACTGTGATTGTAAGAACAATATCTCCCATAACACATCTCTGTCCCTAGTAAGACAGTTGAGAGTTTTTTCCCCCTAAATAAGTTCCAATTTTGGAAAGTGGTATAGGGGCACTAAGAACTCTGATCTCTTTCTGTCTGTCTGTCTTCCTCCCTTTTTCTCTTCCCCTCAGCACCTGCTTGTAGAATTGGAGCTTGGATACAGCCAGGGCTTTGTACATGCTGGAAAAGTGTTCTACCGCTGATATATACCCACAACCCTCTGATACTGTGTTAGTTTCTTTTCTCATTGCTGAAACAAAATACCCAATGCCTAAAGTTAAGGGTGAAAATGTTTATTTAGTTCATGATTCATAGAGGTTTCAGTCTGTAATCAGCTGGCTCCAAGGCAGGGTGGCACATGGCAGAGGGGCAACAAACAGTTCATGGTGGGCAGAAAATAGCAAAGCAACAGGGGATCTTAACAGAGTCTTTCTGTCCCTTTTATCTTATACAGACTACTGGGATTAGGGTGATGCCAAACCAATCAATGGTCTGATGTAGTAATCACACACCTTAATCCCAACATCACACACTCTAGATTCAGCCACCTCTGAAAAGCCCTATGACTGCATGAGGCTTTAGAGGGACATCTAGACACAAACCATAACAAGAGATCTTCTTGAGGATCTCTGATGTTTAGTGTTACAGAATCTGTCCCAAGGGAGGTTAAACTGGTGGCTTCTCCAGCCTGCACATTTAGAGAGCGCTGTTGCCTCTGCTCCCTCCCCTAGTCTTTTAGCCTCAGTAATGAATCCAGATCTGGCTGTGAAATCATCCAAGGGTGTGACAGGCTTCTGGCTTCTGGAGAGGAACTCTGTGTTAATTCAGGTATACCATGTTTTCTTTGTTTTGCAGCCGGTATGGTGAGGGAGCCTAGTGCAAATGGGTTGAATCAAAAAGGAAAATGAAGGCGTTCACTGTTCTATTGAGGATGGCTCATTTAAAGTAAACACCATTTAAATAGTCTCCAAATGGTCCGTTGTATATGAAGTCATTTGAGATGCCCCCTTAGGGCTGTCATTCTCCTTTAAATGGACTGCTTTGTGTGTGCTGTGTTTTAATGCCATTCAACCTTAAACCCCATATGTGGGCCTCATCAGGTCACGGGTTTTGGTGCACATGTGGCAGCCATACCTTAAAACATCCGTTGCCTCTGCCTCCAGAAATCCATCCTGAACAACAGGGAGAGACAGTTATAAAAATGAGAGCTTGAAGATGATAAGATGATGACAACAATGAGGATGAGAAGGACACACTATGTGCCAAGTGCTATGCCTAGTGATTTCTATATGGATTTCCTAACAACGCTCATAGAAACCTATGAGACAGACACTGTGATTATTCCCCAGTTACACATGACGATGCTGATGCATATAGAAATTAAGTCACTGGTGTGTGTTGTACAGGGATTAAACTCAGGGTGCCTAGAGCTAGAACCCAACCCATGGGTGTGCTCAAAAGAAATCAATTCTCATTTGTGAGGTAGGCTTATTGCAAACAATGGAAAATCCAGAAAGGATTTTTGTCTTTAAAAATGTGCGCTCTGATTTCTGGGGCAGTATTTCCGCTACGCTACTTGCATTTTTTACAGGCTGATTTGAAGATGAGATAGGTGTGCCTTGTCCCAGTGGGCAGTCTTTGTTCATGCAAGGTTGGGCTCCGTGGCACAATCCATGAACGGATAAGTCAAGGAGACTTTTCTACCAAATGAGGATACTGGAAATGTCCTCCTAGTTAGGAACTAGTAAAAGCCTTCCCTAGAGCACTGGAAGAAGCATCCCCTGATCTCAACCTTGATTTGGGCATTTGTCCAGGATTAGGGCAAAAGTCAGGCCCAGACACTTCTGAGAGACTTTTTCCTGAGAAACTCTGTGGCTTGACCAGAGCCTTCGGGAGTTGGGCTTCTGGCTGGCTCCTAATGGCCCAGTCAGTTGACCTTTCCCCATTTGACTGTCACTTGGTAGCCAAGAAAATAGTTTTTGTTTTAAAAACTTCATTAAGGGGTTCATTTCCAGTGAGCTGCACTACGTAGAGAAATTTAGGAATCTAAGAAAATTAACCAGTCTCATGAGTTAGATAGAAAGAAATAATCTTTAGCATCTAAAATGTGAATACATTTCCTGCAAAACCATTCTTTCCATTATTTAACATCAGAGAAGACTGTGGGGGATCAGTGACAGTTGTTGGACTCAGTTTAGGATCTGTTATCATTTTTGCTGTCTCCTAAATTTCAGATTATTTAAGATTCTTTTTAAAAATGTTATTTGGCATATCTTCATTCATTTTCCTTCTGTATCCCATTGTGACTTCTGGTGCCTTCCTTGTATCACCACAGACATTTTTCTGATACAAGTGCTAATACATAAGGTGGTAGGGCACTCTGGATTCTTGGTGACTTGTCCAGGTAGCTAGCAGATACCTCTTATTCCATTCATAATGTTTTTTCTTAGAGTAGTTTTGGTTCTTGCTGTTTTCACAAGTCCCATCTTGTCCATAGATTGGATAAATGATGTGGAAAACCAAAGAGACAGCTAAAAATCAGGTCATAACTTCACAGCAGGGAGCAAGCCTGTGTCCATAGTGCAAGTGTATGCAGTGTTTCATTCTTAAAAAGATTTCCTAGTAGGTAGTGCCTACTCTTTATCTAAACTGCCTCTTCCTTCTGAGTCCTCTTGTATCTTTTTAAGAGTACCCTACGACCAAAAATGTTGCTCCTTTTCTGTTAAGATATCACCTTTTAATTAATTGATTGGGTTTATTTGAACTGTTTCACATTAAAAATACAGTATTTAAACAGTCAAATCATTCTGTTGAGTTTATTATACTCTCTCCCCAAATAGTAGTCCTCTGTGTCCATCCTATTGCCTGTTTTCCTGCTTCAGAAGAAATCACTGTTCTACTTCTTTTGGCTGATTATTTGCTGTTTTTCTCTATGTTCAATGAGATGCTTGTTTGTTCAGGGTTGGTCTTCCCACTATGGTAGGTAAGGATTTCATTCATCTCCTCCAACTCCATCATACATGTGCTTCCTTCCCAAAATTCTTTCTTCTCAATGTGGTTAATACCATGATGGTGATTAAATGAGCATTCTGCATTTATATGTGTTTGTTAGTGAGAATCAACCCTGCTGGTCAAACTATAATTATATTATTATCTGAATATGTTTGTTTTTTTCTTAGAGTTAATAATGGTGTTCCTTGTTTTTACCCATTCTTTGTTTTCTATATATTTATCAACCTTAGACACTTTGAAAGTTGTTGAAATCTCCTTTCAAGATACTCAAATCTATCAGGTTTCTCTCAATTTCATTTCCCAGAAACAGTTTCTTCAGGGGTTCCTTCCCTGCCTCTGAGCACTGGTTGCTCTCTCTGCTGGGTGCACAGCTCCATCATTCTGCACAGAGTTCCTTTCTTTCTATCCCTCTGCCTTGCCTGTCTTCTTTTTTTTTTTTTTTTTTTTTTGGTTTACTACCTCTTTTTTGAAATACTTTACATAGTCTAGTAACTGGCAAAGAATATGGTATGTAGGAGGTGAATTTTTTTGAAACTCTGCACATCTGAAAATGTTCTTACTATATGTAACTTTTCTTTTTTCTGTCTCTTTCTAGAAGCTTGAGAATCTTGTCTTTGTTCCCAAGCTGCTCAGTTTTGTAATGACATTTCCTGATGTAAGTCAGTTGTACCTGGTGTCCTGGGTTGTTTGGGTCTGTCAGTTTAGAAGCCTATGTTACCTTCAATTTGGGGCAGGGTTTTTTTTTTATTATTTAATTTTTTCCTGCTGGTTTTGCTCCCTTCTATTTTCACTGTCATCTCTTTTTGGAGCTTCTATTATTTGTATGTTAGACCTCCTAGATTATTTTTTCATATCTTTCTTTCTTTCTTTAGCTCTATTCCTGAAAGATTTTCATATCTTTACATGTTATACCATTCTTTTTATTGAGTTTTTCTTTGGCCATGTTTTTAATTTTCTTAACTAATGAACTCCCTTTAAAAATATTATACTCTGTTTGGGAGCTGCAGTAAAGTCTCCTAATTCTCAGTGTCTGTATGTTTAGTGCTTTTGGAAATTCTCTTCTCCCAAGCCATCACTGTCCTCCAAGTCGCTTATTTCTGTTAGCTTTCTGAAGGTTCCTGGAGGTCCTTGGAGGAGACAGTGACAGTGCACACTGGAGGCTCTGAGTGCATACATAAGTCTGATTATAGGAAACTGCTAGCATTAATATCTCTGGGCATTTGTTCTTGGGTCGTCAGCTTCCTTCCATCTCCTGTGCACGTGTGGGGGTTTGGAGACGGGCATTCTGGGAACCAAGGGGAGATGGCTGGTGGTCTCAGCATCCTATATGCATATGTTCATCTGGTCCCATTCATTTGCTCTCACCTGTATCATATACTCCCCAACTCCTCTAGTACAGAGGTCTTCTCTTTTGTTCTCTCTAGAAAATGAAATTCCAGTTATTTGCCGAGGTCTGTAGGGGATGGGCAGATAGCCTACGTGTAGAGTGGGGGAAGGTGCTCATGGATCCAGTCACTTCTTAGATGGACATTCATCCAGGCCTGCTTAGTTTAGTACAGCTTTTTACCCTACAGCCTTTTGGGGCTTCTAGCAGGTAAAATGAGGCAAGTCTTATCTTTGCCCATTGCAGGTCTGCTATATTTTTTGCCATTCTTTCTTTCTTTTGTAGCTCTTGTCTCTAATTTTATTTTTCCTGTTCATACTGGTTTATGCCTTTAGAAAGAATTCACTTTATTGTCCTTTAATGGGGTTTTGGAGGAAGCAAAGGTGGCTTCCTTCGTTTTCACCTGAAAGTCTCACCATTGCTACTTATTTATTGGATCCCCAAGGATATGAATTTTACTGGACCCCTTATAGGAGGTAGTTAATGGAAAAGTAGAAAAATGAAGGTTATAGTCTGCCATGTTAGATCCATGTTGTGCTTTTGCTTGTCTTTTCCCACTTCTAAGTGGCTAAGGATCAAGGCAGTGATTCTCTTTAAGGATATGGTTTTACTTCAAGCTCAGTAGAAGCTACATCACTGTACTACATCACTGGTTTGTCTCCAGTATCTCTAGACGTAACTGTCTCTTTAAAAATGAGATGCCTTCAACTTCTCAGTCAGCTACAAAAAGAGGGCTCTCAAGGGTGGCCACTCTAGCCAAGCATGGCGGCACATTCCTGTAATCTCAGCACCCTGGGAGGCTGAGGCACCAGTATCACAAATTTGAGCTAATCCTGGAAACTTAGCAAGATCTTGTCTCAAAATAAAAGAGGGTCTGGGATGTCGTTCAGTACAAAGGCCCTGAGTTTAATCCGCAGAACTGGGAAAAAAAATGGTACCTGATTTCAGAAACAGGGTGCAACATACAAGCAAGTTTCAGAGAACGGCTGCCCCTGTGCTAGGTTGCCAGCAGTTCTGAGGATGCCCCTCTCATATCTCCTTCAGTTACATCCGCCAGTGACTTTCACACTTGAATATCACCAGAAGCCATACTTAGTTTTTCTAAGTCTTTCTTTCCTATTTTAGATTTTTATTTTTCATTTGAAGAATTCTCCATTGTATTTCTTTGAATCTAAGTTGCTAGAGTTTGAGGATAATAAGTAATGACTTTTCCTGGGTTCAGAGTTAGTTGATAAAGGACCTAGGAATATAGAGATCAAAATTCAACTTTTCCAGGCTGTGCATGATAGCTAGCACATGCCTGTAATCCCAGCACTCAGGAAGCTGAAGTTGAAGGATGATTTCTGTGAGTTCAAAGCCAGCCTGGGGTACAAAGTGAACTCAAACCAGCCTGAACTGCATGGCAAAACCCTGTCTCAAAAAAGAAAAGAAATCAGCTTTTCCTATTGGTTTTTAGTGGTAAAAACACTTTGAAAAGTGTCATGTTTACTGGTCAGTGTGGACATGAATTTGACATCCACTCACTCATCAAATTGAACAATCACAGGCCTCAGATGTCTTACCCTCTAAAACTTAAAGCAAGAAAGAGAGTAATAGTTTCTATAAGTGGGCTGAAAGAAATGTGTTACTGTAATCAAATTCCCTATCATTGGACATTAGGAATAGAGAAATGTGTTTCATAATATAATGTCATATGTATTTTAAGACACACTGTCAATTTCTAGCAGATCCTTAAAAATACTATTCAGTAAGGTTATGTGATACATTTTTGATTTCAGAAACATGAAAATGATTTTCCTATCTTAGAAGTCAGGGAAGTATAGTATTATAAGTTATCAATCCTTTGTTCCTTTGAGGTTTGGACTAAGTAGAGAGTGTACCTTCACCTGGGGTGGAGAGCTCCTGCTGCAATCCCAACGCTGTTACAAACTAGTTGGGGGTCTTCGACCCCACTGAATTCTCTATTTCTGCTTTTGGTCTGTGCAGTAAGGAACAAGAGAATAGCTGGACAGATTAAAAGGGTGCCCAATTATAAAAAATTAAAGAGTAAAGATAAAGACAGACTTTTTGGGGTAGGGGTATATGGAATTGGGAAAGGGGAGGGTGGGGGAAGAGGAGATTAAAAATGATCAAGATATGCTACATGTATGTACCAACCCCCCAAACGAATGTGTTTCATGTTTTATAAACATATACCTATAAAAATATATATCATAAAAAAAGATGAAGGCTAGGACCTGAACCTCCATAATTAATTAGTTTCAGAGTTGGGACTAAAATCCAACTGTTTTCTTCCCCTAGTTTCCTGTTTTCTACTATATCCATTTCTTTTTTTTTTTCCCCATTACTGGGAATCAAACTCACAACCTTGCACTTGCCAGGCAGGCACTGTGCCGCTGAGCTAAATCCCCAGCCCTACTATATCCATTTCAGATGGACTTGAATTGAACTTAGGCAAAGTAGTTTAGTTATAGCAAGAAAGTGATCATTTCTCCATTCATTCAGCAAATATCAATTGTGCTTCCTTTTTTATGCCAAATAATGTCACAGGCAATAAAGATGAATAAGACATGTTCTCCACCCCATGGGAATACACAATCTATGTCCTTCCTTGTTTACAGTTGTGCATGGCCACCTACTACCTCCTTTTATGTTTAGCTTCACTTGAGGTCTTTAGACTGATCACTGGAAGACATCAGGCCTCCTGGGCTGCCTTGAAGCTATCATCCCTCTTCTGCTTTCTCTGTCACCCAGAATTGTGCCTCTTTAGTTGATGTGACCCACCTGCAAGAATGGCCTCTTACCAGTTTATCTCACAAGTTCTTCACATGCCTCAAGAGAGGACACAGAGGGTTAGGTTCAGAGCCATCACTGGCCTCATTCTGGTTGTTCTCTGTTTAGGGTGCTCAAGCTGGCATTATTATGTGACCATGCCGATGCCAGCCTCCACCTTCGCCATTGCGGTGGGATGCTGGACAGAAGTAAAGCTGGAGACATGCTCGTCAAATGAGCCAGTGATAGAGAGACCCTTCCCACTCTCCGAGACGGACTGCAGGTATGTGTTTGGGAACTTGCTGAAAAACAAGCACTTGAGGGAGCAGCAGTGTGATGTGTGTCCTCCAAGCTCTGGGACTGTGAGTCATCTCTGCCGAGAAACCAAACCAAAATAGGATTCATCAGAGCAGGAAAAGGCCGACCAGGAGAAAGAGAGAGTCGAGAGGCAGAAATGTGGGCCTGTTGTTTAGGCAGAAAGAGAAGAAAATACGTATATATGAAATCTTCTGTGAAGTCAGGTGAAATATTTTCATGTGTTTGTTGAAAAGAATCCTCAGCTTCAACACTGTTTCCTCCTACATCTTTTACCTTTGGTTTTTAGTGTTTAACTGCTCAAAAATAAACTTAATAAAAAGAAGTTGTTCATCTACACATGGCTTTGTAGGCCACTCGATGGTTTTGGTCCTGGTAACTGCAGTTAGCAGTGCCTTGGAGGAAGGGCCACTTTCAGTGAGAGCAGAGGACTCGCGGAAGCTGCCCCTCGCCACTGGGCTCATCCTGCTGTGTTTTTTCTTTTTTGGAATGGATCAGAGAAAACCCATTTGAGGTTTTTAAAAAATAGAATAGTCATTGGATATTCTCTTGCAGCCTCCCCCTAAGGGAGGAGGGAAGAGCTTTGAGAGCCAAAAGAGAAGGAGGGAGCTGCCCAGCAGGGCCACAGAAGAAGGTATTGCGCTTTATCCTGAGGACTTCCACACCCAACTCCATTGACTCTTTTCTTTGTTACCAAATCCATTAAACCAGTTATTTCTGGTGCAGACAGGCCAGAGCAATGGTACAGACAGTCTGTTCATTCTTAACAACCCAGTAGGACCCACTCTTGGTGCAAATTCCTTTTGGGTTGGTATTATTTTACCCTGCTGCTTTAATCTTACCACAGTGACTGCAGTGGTTGGTATCTTTAGGATATAAAGCCATGTGTTATTTTTTCCTAACAGGCAAGTTTTGCTTTTTTGGCAGAAGAGAGTTAATTTCCTCTTCTTGCTCAGTAAGGAATGCCTATTTTGAATGTCTTTCCTGAGCTATATAGAATATTCTTGTTTATCAGATTTTACTTATGTCCTGTTACGGGAAGAAGAGAATTGTGAACACAAGTGACACATGCTGTTTCATGTGGGGACATTTAATTGCTGCTTTTGCTATGCTTGCATTGGGACCCCAGAGGAGGCTTCTTTTTGTAGTTGTGAGCAGCCTGAACTTCTGAGTGAGGGGGACAGGTGCCCTGAGGAGTCACTTGATCCACAGTGGATGAGTATGAGTGAGAAATAAACTTCCTCCTGTTAAGGCCCTGAAATGCTGGGGTTGTTTGTTATTGTAACACATCCTAACCTGTGATGGTAAACATTTGAGAGCTTTCAATGATAACAAATAGCTGGCCACAGCATGCGCGCCGTAGGTTTGCCACCATTGTCTAGCCTATCCTAAAGTGATATAGAAGCTATTGGTTGTCTGAATCAGGAAAAACCTTCACTGTTTTGTCTCACTTAACCCTGAGTATAAGCCTGTAAGGATTGGTTTTAGTATTCCCATTTGTAGATAAAGATATTAAGGCTCAGACAGTAACTCAGTTATATTCTTCTATCTAGTAAGTAATAATACATGGATTCACATCCAGGGCTGACTTCCTAGAAAGGTGATTTAGAATCTTACCTGCAGATTTTTTTTTTTTTTTTTCTTGAGACAGGGTGTCACTATGTAGCTCAGGCTGGTCTTGAACTTGCCTGTGTAGTCCAGGCTAGCCTTGAACTCATGGCAATCCTATTGCCTCAGCCTCCCAAGTGCTAGGATTACAGGTATGTGCCACCACGCTCAGCCACTTACCTGCAGATTTTTAAAAACTATACATAGCATCAACCTGGATTCTGAGCCAGCTTCCTATTTGGAGAGTTTATTGCCATAATGGAGCTACTGATACTGATGGAGTGTGTTGTCTCAGGCACAGGAAACACCCTTTGAGCCTGCAGATACTATCCTTACTGGCTGGATATGGCACTTTGGGCAAAGTACAGTTTCCTTTTCTGTAGAGTCAACACCATGTTCATGGGTTCTCAAATTCTTCTTGGTGAAGAAGTACTGTTTTTCACCTAAAGACAAGGTTCATTGGCTGTTAAGGAAATGAGCTTGAAAAGTATGTGCCTTGAAAAGGTTAGGAGAAAGCAAAAAAATGTGTTACTTTACCCTTCTAGCCATGTTCCCAGGAGATACCAGGTACAGGAATGGGCAGCAACAATTTCCTGTATGCTTTTTCCTCCTACCTGGAAAAAGCTGATGGCCTCTCACTTGTCCTGCATCTATTATTCCAAAAGAAGGAAGACATGACCAAATCAAATAAGGATTCTGGGAAGAGATGCCTAAAATTCCTACTTACATTTCAAAGAAGGCATTATTTCTCTCTTGTCCTCCTATGTTCAAAACCACTGGAGGAGTGTGCAGAAGGAGATCAACATAAAGATTGTATTATTGACAAAGCTAAACTGAGTGGAAGCTCCAGTGCATGCTCTAAATGGACTTCTTAATACTTTCTTTCAAATTAGACAAATATCTCCACGTAGTTATCAGTGCAGCTAGACTGCTGCTGGCCTCCATGCCTCCATGCACAGCCTGTCTGGCTTGAGCAGAGCAGGCCCTGAAGTATCCTCTGTAAGGGTGAGCAGGTCTACAAAGAAAAGGTCCAGGTGGCCAGCCCATCAGGGAAGCTGAGGGAGAGGGCTAGTGTCCCTCTGTAGGGTAGTGCGTCTTTTTATGGACTATAGTATGGGGCTCCTCCTGCTCTGTCTTTCACATCTGCAGATGATACCTATGTTTTCCCTGCATTTATCCATTTACGTGTCCATCAGAAATGTACTGATAAAATAATAGATTACATTTGCTTCATCTTGCCCTGGCTTCATGCTTCATGTGTGCTATCTAGTCTCCAGGAGATGGCTTTGTGTCTTTATCCATGAAACCTCTGACTCTGTGCTAGGTTTGCCTACAGAAATGCTCTGATGTTTCTGGTTATGTTCACATCTGCTCTCCCATACCTTCCCCAGGCCTCTTTCTACTTCAGACCTTCCTGAGACCACCAGTTAGTTTAATTCATGTGAATCTAACTTTTACAGGGGCTTTGTATTCCATAGGCTTTCATTTGCCTAAAGTGTTCATCTGGGTTCCAGAAATTTGGCCAAAGGATCGGTCACTGAACTTTTGATCACTGTTCACATGGGCTGAATTACAGAAAGAGCATTCCTCGTGCCCGCTCCAGTTTCACACGTGCGCCAGCCCACTGTGGGGGAGCATCTCACTAAATCCATTAGCTATAAGGCACTCAGATAAACTGTTGAAAGTTTATTAATTTCATTTGGTTTCAGCCATTAGGGAATCTTGTATTATATTTAACCTCTCAAGGCCTTTGTTGAGGCCATACGGTTTATGCACAGTACGGAAACTTGGATAAAATCCAGAGAAACTCAGCAAAAATGATTAAAGGAATGGAAAATGGACTCTGTAAAGCAGAAGAAAAGGCACTGAGGTTATGCATTCTAAAAAAGAGAAGCCTTTGCAGGGGAAGAGATCTTCTTTAGAGCTGTAAAGACCATGGAAAGTTGCTTGAAAGGAAGACTATTGGTGACTTTGTACCTCTTCAGAGACAAGGCTGTTGTCTGAAGAGGGGCTGAGGTGGTGAGTTATAGAATCATAGTGCAAGAAGAAACCTTAGAAACCATTTTTGGTTCCTTCTTTATTTTTAATCAAAGTATAATTAATGTCCACCACAATGTGCAAGTCTTGAGTATTTGGCTAGATGAATTTCTGACCACTGTACATACCCTAAAGCAGAAAGAGAACTTTGGTCACCCTGGGAAATTCCCTTATATTCCTTTCCAGTCAGTTCCTTCTTTCCTCTGTCAGCCTCTGTGGTGAGTCCATGGGAGAGCTGAGGAAGAAGAGACTCCAGGTACTAAGTTGCTTGTCTCAGGTCACCGTGGACCTGAGAACAACTACAGAAGCCCAGGTTTTCTGGTCCTCACATAAGAACCCACAAATGCTTTTCCTTATGATTTTTACATTTCTACTTGTAGCCTTATTGGTCTTACTTGCCTATATTTGATTGCCTTAAAAGTCCTGCATTTTCTCCTAGGCTTTTCCATAAAAAAATGGTGCTAATTCATACAACTGGAATCATCTTCATGACATAGTCCAGTATCATAGATGTCCAGAGAGAAATCTGAATTACCTTTTCCTTGAACAAATGGGACTTTTAGGGGTGTGATTTAGCTACCTTCATTTATTCTCTAACCTTTGGTATTCTTGGATGTAAGAAATAATTTTCCCTCATGGAAACAGGCTTGTGCTGTGTGTGTCTAGATGGAATGCCTCTGCAGTGTTGTTGTGTGGTACATAGAATTTAAATATATGTACATCTTTTTTTTTTTAAGACAGACTCTTGCTAAGTAGTTCAGGGTGGCTTAAACTCACTATGTAGTCCAGGTTAGGCTCAAACTCCCCATGATCCTCCTGTCTCAGTCTCCTGAGTGCTGAGATTACAGGTGTGTGATACCACAGCTGGCTAGGGACATGTTAACAGGTGAAAAAGCAGAGCTCCTTTTAATGTCAGGGTTTTTTTGGTAGATAAGTTCTCCTGAGGCCTGTGAGTCAGGTTCTAGGAATTCTCTTTCAGCTCCGCCTTTGCCTGAATAACTGGCAGTGGTCAGATGGTGCTGGCTGGGCTGGGATCTGTTTCCTTAAAAGGCTGCCTCAGTTAAGTGTGTACTGAAAGTGATGGGGAAAAACACTGTATCCAAAGTACTTCTTTTGGATGTTGATGGTGTTCTGTGTTCTTTGACAATTTCTGATAGGCTTTGTAAAGAACATCTAGGTTGCTTTTCAGTAAAATGGCTTGTGTTCTTTGGAAAAGCTGTACCTGTGCCTGCTATTTGGTTCAGTGTTCCACCTCCTTCTGAGTCTTTCACTGTAGGAAATGCCAGAGTAGGATCTTTAAGTTGACTGCCTTGTCTCTCCCTTTCTGAGTTACGAATCATCCCCAATTGAAAGATTTTTTCCTATGATCATGTTTGAAAGCACAGTACTGAGGGCAGAAATTGTTTTTATTGCGATGAGAAGTAGTTTTGTTTTGGGTCTTGGATTTCTCCTCCTATCTACTTCATTCTAAAATAAGATTTCACTGCTTTTACATAGATTAGGTTGAAGCTACTCAGTTGATTCAAACACATTAGTAAGTGTTTTGACCTGTACATTTTCACTGCTGTCCAGAAATAGACAGGCCAAGAATTCAGATGAACTGCTTTTGTTTATAAGCCTGTCTGAACCACTGTCTCCTAAAAGTTGCCATGTCTGTAAGAGTTCCTTACCTCCTCAGCAAGAAGAGCAAACACAACTGACCAGTAAACATGTCTGTTTTTTTCATGTTGGTCCCAGGTATGTCGGTGTTTGCGGTCACATGGAGTACCCCTGCCGCTTCCAGAATGCTGCGGCCACCACCCAGAAGATCATTCCTCATCGAGTCTTTGCCCCGGGCTGCCTCAAGGAAGTCTGCCAAGAGACCCTTCTGCGGCTGCTTGCTCCTTGCCTCTCTGCCGCACATTCTGTCTTAGGGACACACCCATTCTCCCGCCTGGATGTACTCATCGTCCCTGCCAACTTTTCAAGTCTGGGAATGGCAAGGTATGTTGTTCTGTTGTGGCACTTAACAGTACATGCTTTGGCAATTTGGGGACTATGTTTTGTTTTTCTTGGGCTGTGCCACAGAGCTGGCATTTGATTAGGATGGAAGGGCCACGTTGTTCACTCTTGCATACCTTATTGCTGCCTTGAAGGACAGTTTTCAAGCAGATTCCATCATGGGCTCAATTCAGACTTACTGGAAAATGAAAAGCTCTCATTGTTACTGGGATTGGGAACACACTGTAACCCAGAGTGATGTATGTTGGGTCATGGCTGATCAGTGGCTGTTAGCTGGGGTGATGAGAGCATAACAGAGTCCGAGGTCATAGCGTCAGGCTTTGGGCACAGTAACACGACCTGGTCCCAGGGCCACAGGCTGCCTGCCTAATCCTGACCAGCTGTCTCATCCATTCTCACCATTGGTCACAAGGCAATGACTGGAAAGCCCCTGTGCCAGAGAGACTGTGGATGGATCAATATAAATCCATCCTTGCTGCGGGAAAAACAGCTTGAAGCAGATGGCTTACCATCGGGTAGGAATGAGAGGAATTACTTGTCTTGCTACTATTTTTTTTAATATAACAAAATACATTATTCTTATTGTGTCTTGTTTTACTTCCTACAGACAATCAAGACCTGCAAGTGGAACTTTTCCTTTGTTTATTGCTTAGTATGAAAATCCCTTCATTAATGTTCATTTGGTAATGAGTAGTTGTGTTCCATTGAGAAAAGATAATGTACTCATGATTTTCCTTGGTTATGTTTCTTTTTGCAAATCTTAATCATTAACGCTGAATATGCTTGACTAAGGATGGGAAAAATAAGCTCATCAAAACATGTGACATTAAGTTTTTCCCTATTAGTCAAGGAAATTCCTGCTGCCAATTAATTTCCATGCTTTTGAACAGCTGTCATTTGTGGTGTTTTCCCTGAAAACTGCACACATTCTTAGTAAAACCCATGAGTAGAAAAGAACTGACCAGAACATTTGCTTTTGATCTTTACTACATACATGTACTTTTTAAAGGCTGGCTGGCTCAACTTAATCCTTGAGGAGGTCTGAGAAAGTCATTTAGACTGATTTTTATCCTACATTTATAAAGATAATGGGAATGTAGAAACTAGGATAATTATATATATTTGGTTACATGCATCATATAATTGTCTTGCATGTCTATGTATAGAATTTGTCTTAACAAGGGGGCTTCTCCAGTCCCTTTGAAGAGTCTGCTGGACTTAATTTAAGCAGAGTTATTGGTGAAGCAAGGGTTGTTCATTAAATGTTTCTTATTTGTATACAGTTTTAGAGGACCATATTTGGGAGTTTTTAGCACTTTATGAGAGCTATAGTTTCGCAAAGCATGTTTGCCAACAGTTCCAAGTTCTGGCCTGCGGGAACCAAAATTTTTCATACACAGAACCTTATTTTCTATAGCTCTTTCCTGACATTAGTCTGCCAAGACCAGAATTTGTTGACCTCCGGGCCGTTCTATAATGCTTCTCTTTTCAAGTCTGCATGCCCAAGCAGGTAGGCTGGGTGTTTGCTGCTTTTTGAGATATTTAAAGTGATTTAAACATGCTTAACTCTGTATTTTTAAAGTAATAAGCCTAAGTACCCGAGGGCCAAATAGTACTGGGCACAAATGTCAAAAAGTGGCATGGTGATAATAACTTCTCAGCAACAAGACTGCTTTTATGCTTAAAAACAGGAGAAGCATACATTTAAAAATTTGTGGTTGGTTGTCAAATATCTTTTTTTTTTTTCCTTCTTAGCCTGTAGAAATAAAGCCTGCTCTGGTCTAGATGTTTTCCTGAGCTTCGTTACCATCCCTGTATTTGCACTGTGGAAGAGGGATTGTGGTATCCTCCACTGCCAGCTGGGGTAGGGAAGTGGAGTGGGGACTGATTTTCCAAACTCTGATTTAAATTGATTCCAGTTGCTTGGCTTGACTCTCTCCGGATCTCAACACCTTGAGTCACATGCAGCTGAGTGGGGTTTATGACTCAGCTGGCTACTGAGACCCTACTGTTTTATTTATGGTCAAGACTTTGCTTGAGGTTCTGTCAAGAAATTGGAACAAAAATGACAGTAGATCAACTCTGTATACTCTAAACAGGAACAGAGAAAGTCCCAAGACTAGGAGGAGGCATCCAAAGAGACTTCCACGCTGACACTTGGCATTTTCCTGTCAGTTATAATATGCTAAGAGATCGTAAGATTGCTTGGTAAATTAACTGTGTTTTTCCCAAATCCATGTTTTATAAAGACATGTGCAGGATCTTTAATTCCATATCACTGGACTCTGTAGTGACTAGGCTTTCATATAATGAATATCATTTTAGTATTCTTTTTGGGCAAATTACATTCAGCATTCCTACCTGAACTAAAAGAAGTACATCCTTATTATGTTAAAGTAAAAAAATGTTTTTGATAATACCCATAATTCTTAAATAATGTCCAACATTCATTTTAAATATTATATACCAGAGTTTGTATTAGTAAGCTTAAAATTCTCCTGATTTTGAGCCTAATCTGATATTCAGTAAAATATAACTTGAATTTATGATAATGCCCAATTAATTTATAAGAACGTAAGTAATACATAATGTTTTAGAATTAGGACTACTTTGCAGACATAGTAGTAAGCAGAGTATCAGTACTGCACTTCATGATTTTTATCTTTTTTTTTTTTTTTAACATACCAAGAACCATGACTTTCTGGCCCCATCTTGCCCCAACCTTTTTCTGAATCACACTTCCTAGGGAGGTGCTTTCATTCCGTTCTGATTCTGAGAAAAACCACTAATTTGCCTTTCAGATACTTCTCTGGCCATTCCATTCCCATGTTTTTCCCATTTATGGTTTTCAGGCTTTCTGTTTTTGTTTCGTTTTACTTTTGCCTTCCATAAGAACCGAATCTGCTCTATCAGGAGCTGTAGAGTAAACATTTCTTGGATCAAGCACTATGAGGCCTATGTGAAGATACAGATACATTTTACCTGAGTGTTCAATGTAGAGTCAGCTCTCTTCCTGTTGCTATCACTAATATTCTGCCATTTTTATCATATTCTCTTACGTCCTCCATGTCTCAGTTAGAGATTGAGTGCAAGCCTCGATTCCTCCTATTGAGAAATATTCATACCTGAAAGGAGCACACTGTCAATTACACTCTTTCGTTATAATAGTAGTAATGTTCATAGAATAATATCCTAGAACCAGATTTATGACAGTTACTTAAAAATTAACACCTCAGCCTTACCTCTATATGTGTTTATAATAAATGGTTTGCTTCACCATTTGTCTTTCAACACACAATTACATGTCAGGAGACATAATTAGGTTGGCAGAACTACCTTGCCGACATCCAAACATAGCCCTTTCCTTCCATATTTAAATTTTGAGAGTCGTCTGCACATTATTTCAGAGTAGTGGTTTTCTTTTTAATGCACAGAATAAGAAAGCCATAAAGTCTGCTTTCTAGCTCAACCATTCACATGTAGCTTCATGCCTGGTCCCACTGGGAAAACTGTGGGAGAAAAAAAGCAGCAGGATGGTTATTGATAGATGATTCAATTCTGCTTTGACTTCCTCTCCACCTGTTCCATGCAATTCTTTTGTTTATTTGTTCACTATTGGCTTATATATAGTATTCATTTAGTCAGTCTTGTAATGTATTTCTATCAAGCACATACTTTCTGCCAGGTAGTACCTAGCTGCTGAACCTACAAGTGTGAACAAGGTTAATGAGGTCTCTGTGCTCATGGAATGGGCATTCTAGTCAGGGGAGGAAAACAGTATACACCAAAACAAATACTTGAGATATGCACTGTGAAGATAAAACCAAGTATGTGACAGAATAGAACAGGTAACATCATCAGGGTGGTCTTCAGTCTGCTGAGCCACCCACACACCCATGTGAGGAGGAGCAGAGAGATGCTAAGAAACGGCACAGTCGGGGTTGATCATTTCAGGCAGCCAGGGCTTGTGGGAAGACAGCCAGTAGGGAGGTCCAATTCTGTCTTGGTTTTCTTGGGAGCATAGGTGCTAGGCTGTCTCATGGCTAGTTAGAACCTGATTGGCTTAGCTGCTGTTGTCCTTGAGCAGAATTCTCTGTTGCTGGAACTATCAGAGGCCCTGGCACTCAGACTATCAACTATCCATTTTCAGAAAAGAAAGAAGTCTCAGGTCACCTAGTTGATTCTTTGCAAAATTTTTCACACAGTAGGTCACAAGGAGGGAAGCTGTGTTTGTATGTTTGCTCATCCTTACTTTTAAGTTCCTTTAGAGACTGAGCAAAAGTTTAGAGAAATAATTACCAATTGCTTAAAAATATCTTCAACACACTTCACGGTGGAGCTCCCTATTACATACAGCTTGTTTGTTAAAGACTGGATTGTGCAATAAAAAGACTTCTGAATGATTATACTAGTTCCTGACTGTTACATGCACAATTTTCTTAAGTACCTCAATTTGCAAATAAACAGTGTGCATGTACTTGCCCAAGAATGAACGTAACCAGCTTTTCCCTCCACCTCCTCCTCCTGGGGTTAGACAGGGTGTTGTCCTGTTTATTCTTATCTCCCAGCCAATGCGTAATAGAATAAGCAAAGCATAACATGCCGGTACAAAGGGCCTGCTGTTTTCAGCCTTCTAATTGTACTCCTTTCTGCTGGGAAAGGAAGCAGTCATAAATTTCTGTCATTATCTTAAGTAGCAAGGTTTCACAGCTTTGGAAAGTTTTCTTTGCTTTTTCTTTGTTGGCTTATACTTGAATTTTTGATCTCCCAAACCAAAACCACTGTAGTTTTCAACAATGTTCCTTCAAATTTTAGAGGGTGACCCCTGGTTTCAAAGCAGGGTATTACCTTTGGCTTAGCCAGAGTTTATCTTCTTGCCATCAAATAGTTGATGCTATTCTGAACCTTAAATGAGTGTGCCTTTCAATTCACCATGCTGCCAACTCTTCTGCTTCTCTGATATGCTGTGCATTTGGGGTTTG